GTTGTGTTTTATGCCTCTTGTAATAGAAGCTCAAAAAATATTAATAAAGTTTTAAAGGTGACAGATTTCAAATAGATAAAAGAAGATGATTTTTGTGTATACTTTAGCTTGTTGAGCTGCAAATCACCTTTATGAAAGTTACGGAAGTTTTTTAAAAGTTTTTCTAAAAGGAAAGAAACAAAACAACAAAAACCCATCACCTCCCACCCAGAAACATTGTTGTATCCTCTCCACAATTAAATACTCAATGAATCTGGTCTCATATTAAGCAAAAAGAAGTCAAAGATACTCATCCTAAAATTGCAGCAAAGAGTCAGCATTTCAGCACCAGTGAAAGAACAGTATCAGATGGGGATTTGCAGTATCTTGCTTTTGGACAGGCGTGGTGTTGTGATGGTTCTGTGACTACAGCAACTCATCAGCTTTTCAGTTAGTCACTTTTACATTGTGTGCATTGAGATTCTTAATTAAAAACATTTCTACAAAATAGAAGACATCTAAAATGTATGGAAAATATTTTTTAGCAAGTATTTGCCTAATTTTAGTTTTAGGGACTAAAGCAGCACAGACTATGAATTTGACAAGTTACTGAAAGTATGATGGAATATGTAGGGAAGTCTCAACTTTTATTGTCTTAGATTGCCAGCTTATACACATGTGGGCATTGTAAGAAATTATTTCTTTATTTGTGGGTTCAGTATGTATGGTAGCTTTTATTTGTTTGAATATTGAGGAGCAGCTGAGTGTTTAGGCAGAAAATCTAAATCCTTTCCTCTTGATAAAAATACTGGTAAATGATTTTTCCAGATTAAAACCCAGTGTTTTGTGAGTTACGTTTTTCATTTTAAGATGCCATCCTGTATAAAATATCTGACTAATTAAATTGTGAATCTCATGCAGTGTTTGGTGTTGTGTTGATTCTGAAAAGGACCAGGCAAGCTGACAACTTTGTTTGTTTTGTTTTGGTTTTTTTTGTTTTGCCAGGATGATAGGAAAGGAAGAGTTACATTTTTTATAGTATGTTATAGTATGTAACTATATAGCTTGTCTGTGATCCTGTGAAGCTTTACACTGCCTTCAAGGGTGTCTTAAAACCTGCCCTCACCTATAACTCTTCTCAATGCCTGTTCTTTATCACTGTGGTGTAATTTGTTTTCACCCTCACTCTCCTATCATTGTCAGGGTTTAAACTTACTTTTAAAAAGAGCACAGTTTTCATTTGTTCTGCAAATCATGAGGTTTATGGTGCTATGTACTAATAGAGAAGAATGAGAAACTGCAGTTGCAGTTAAGTCCAACTTTCTAGGGAGTATCTTAATTCAGAGATGAAGATTTGCTTTCATATAAATTCAATAATTTGATACTGAGTTGTGGATAATGATCAGTGTAAAATGTCCTGCAATTTTTAGGCTGTGATTGTCTTCATACGCTCATATACTTTGAAGGAATTTTCTATGTAGAGGCTGGCAATTACTGATTGACTTTCACCTGTTGTATCCTGCAAATGCATCCAGAATCTTGAACAGCTCACAGCTACATAGACACTACACTGTAAAATAAAATAATTTAAAACATGCTACGTTCTGTTGAAGCTATGGTAATTTTAGTTGGCAAAATGATAGGTATTGTATGGATATTTGCTTTAGATCTGGTGTAGATTAGTTAAAATCATTATCAATTATGTGGTGATATCTTTATGGGTTAGATTACATGTAGTACTTTGTCTCATGATTGATTAAGTAAATATTGTACAAAACACAACATTATATAAGCACTATACATGGTGGCTGTTCCTTCACATTTCCTTGTAGTAAATAGAATGGTAGAATAATTTGAGTTGGAAGAGACCTTTCAGAGGCCATCGAGTCCAACTCACCTGCCATGGGCAGGGACATCTGCCACTAAAACATTTTGCTCAAAGCTCCATCCAGCCTGGCCAGGACACTTGTAGGGACAAGTTTGGACTTGTAGGGACAGCAGTACTAGAGTAGAAAGTTGTAATCAAGTTGGTCTTATATTACTACACTTGAAAAAGGATGATGGCAAGGTTTTTCTAAAATTATGCTCCTGTATGACTAAGATACTTAGAAAAGTTAATCTAAATACTGTGGAAGGTAGGATGGGACTTTTCTTTTGATTCTTTTAATGCAGAAAGCATCTGCTGCATGTGAGGGAAGAAGTGTGTAAGTGTCTTGGGGTAACATTCTGCCTGTAGGATTAGATTTGTGAACCACAGTCTTTGTATAAACAACATGCAGTTACTTTTATCATTCTAACATTGATGAAGACCAGTGATTTTTATTTACTTTACCACATCTGGGTTGCTTAACACTTAAAATACAAAATTGAATTCATTTTCTATGTTTCGTGATAGCAGCTAAGGATATTGTTTACAGCAGTCAGCAACTATGTGGGAGACTTCAGAAAATACAGCTTTGGCTTTTCCCTCTTGGCATTAAATTATTATAGCTAGGGAAAAAATGGATCTTAATTTATTAATAAATAATGAGAAACTGCAGAATACACTTGGGAAATTGTTATCTTAAAAGTCTGTTGATGATAACAGCCTTTTCCTGCATGCTTTAGTTTATTTCCACTTCTGCTACTTCAGATGTTAAGCACTAGGGAGTTATGTCTGGACTTCTGTGAATATCCGATTATTTTTAAAAGCTAAACTTGGTACAAAATTGTTTTGACTAGAGCAATGTTTCAGGAGGGTTGTCTTTTTTTTTTTCTTTCAATTAATTAATTTTATTTTTTTTAATGTTTTGCATGTACATTTCTTCAACGTAAGCGCCAGAGTTCACTTTTTAAGTGTGGATCTGTCTGAAATGGATGGATTCTGCTTGGCTGTGTGCCTCCCATTATTTTTCAAATGTTTGGGTATTTCATTAGCACTGATGATATCCCCATACCGCTACCCTGAGGACATAGAGGATTGACTAGAGCAGCTAGAAAACTACCTCTGATCAGTCTTCATAAGAAAAACTGAGACAATACTATTTTTCTATATTTGAAGTCTATTAGTGAGAAGTAGCAAGTAGCTGTGTGTCAACAGTTTTGCACTGTACTGCCCTAGAATTACTCCTGAGTTAGGTTAGCACTCTTAGGCAAAGGCTCCCTGCCTGCCTGTGAGTGACAGTTTTGTTGTTGTTCTTGTTTGTTTGAGATACTGTTTTTTCCCCATAAACCCCCACTGGGAGATAACATACCTCTTGATGTTGAGTTGTTTCTATTTTTTAATTACCTTGGTAGGATGGGAGGCACTTCTTGAGAGGTAGGAAACTAAATTTGGAAGGGGCAATAGCTTGTATTGCTTCTTCCAATTAAGATACGTAAGGAAAGTCTCATTTGCTGGAGCCCAGTCACTCACAATGCAGGGCATATCAACTGCTTTTGGGAGCTAGCTGCTAGCAGAAAATTGTCAGCAATGATTTGGAGCTAGATTAAAATGTTTGGGTTGGTTGAATATGAGATTTTTAACTTTTCTGGCTCAGGTGCTGAGTTTGGGTGGAGATGTCAGGTTATCAGGAAAGAAACTTTGCCTGTCTTTGCAATGTCAGCTGCTCCTGGAGCTGCTTTTACAGATATCCAAAGAAGAGAGCTACCTTAACATAACCACAGTTCTTAAATAAGTGCTGAAGGTCTGATAGAATTAAATCTGGCCAGGGACATTAAGGGCAACAAGATGAGTTTCTGTAGGAATTCCAGGGATAAAGAAAGACTTAGAAAATTGTGAGCCCTCTCCAGAAGAAATGGGGAACTGTTTACCCAGAATGTGGAGGTATTCAGTGTCTTTTTTGCCTCAGTCTTCATCAGCAAGTATTCCAGCCAGACTGCCCAAGTCCCAAAAGGGAAAAGGGAGGGACTGGAAGAATAAAGAGCTGCACACTGCACACTCTAGAAGATCGGGTCCAAGAACACCTAAGGAACCTGAAGGTGCACAAGTCTTTGGGACTTGATGAGAGACACCCCCACAGATCTTGCGGAAAGTGACGCATGAAGCGGCTAAGCCACCATACATCATATTTGAGAAGTTGTGGCAGTCCAGTGAAGTTCCTGTTGAAACGTAACCTCATTTTTTTAAAAAGGGAAATAAGGGAAACCGAGGGAATGACAGGCCAGTCAGTCTTACCTTGGTGCTCAATGAAGGTCATGGAGCAAATTGATCTGAAAACTCTGCTAATGCATATGGGGAATGAGTTCTGCTTGATCAGCCTGGAGAAGAGAATGCTCCAAAGAGACCTTCGAGTACCTAAAGTTGGCCTGCAAGCGAGCTGGAGAGGGACTTTTTACAAGGGCACATGATGACAGGACAAGGGGAATGGCTTTAAATTGAAAGATGCATAGTTGAAATAATTTGGAATGCCTTTGCATAGCTCTAGCAGAAGTGGGCCATATATGTTCTTTACATATGACCAATTCCTTAAGTAGGTAGAAGATTCTAGGTTGCCTGTCAAAGCATAACACTTTTTTTTCTAAGTTGGTAGTGGTTCTTGCAGCTGAAATAGTTTAAAATTTTTGATATAAAATCTGCTGAGAAAAAAATCACCTGTTGAGCTGTAAGGGTACATTATTGCTTTGGCTTGGCAAAATATATAGGGATATGTTGAACTCCTAAGTTTGTGCTCACTGTTTTTTTTTTAAAATTAAGGATATATTAAAACACTTTTTATTAAAGCAGGTTGTATTCCCATAATAGAAGACTTGGGGCTTTAAAAAAATATAAACACTTGTATCCATGACACTATCTGTAAATTAGCTTCACAGTTTTTCTGGAGTGACAGCTTACTTGTAATTGTTAATAAACAAAAACTTCCCTGCATTTCATGATATGAATGAAATGCAAGGTGCAAGGCAGAGGACATGTGGAAATACCAGGTGTTTCTTCTGCTGCAGCCTTTAGTTCTGTCCTATCGTGTATCTGTCTCAAATGTTAATACTACATATTTGCATGGTCCTTAAATTGTTTGGTTTGATTTTTTTCTTTATTAAAACAGGCAACAACAGAGAGACCTTTTATACAGAAGCTATTTCGACCAATTGCTTCAGGAGGACAGTTGCATACTTTGGGAGACCTGCTAAAAGATGTGTGTCCTAGTGCTATCACCCCTGAAGGTACTACAGAAATAATTTTTTGTCTAATAAGATAATTATTTTTCTGTTGATTTATTGGATTTTTCAGTATTGTTTTGTTTGTTTGTTTTGTTTTGTTTTCTCTTAATATGGATATTTTGGAGGTAGAACTAAATGTCAGTAATGGAGTTTCAGATTTCATTAATTCCTGGCTCTTTAGTGTTCCCTACATCACCTGGATGGCTTCAAGAGGGTAAGATTGAGTCCTTAGTCACTCCTGGAAAATTCATCTTTAGAAGTTTTATTCTAAAATTCCTGTCCTCTTTTGCCATTATGATGGTCATAGTAAAAATATTCACATGTTATTTTCTGCATTTAAAAAAAAAAATTCTGAAAGTGTCAGCAGATTTTAAGTTAACTTTTATTTTGTATTCCAAAAACTTTTTGTATGTAAAACTACAAACCTGATAGAAATTGAAGATGTTTTCAGAATGCTTTTTTCAGTTCTTGAAGTCCAACCTTTTAAAATGTACCAGTAAGAGATTTTTACAATTATATAATAGTTTACGTATGATTATGAATTAGTATTGTGTGACCAATTAATGTAGCATATTATTTCATACAATAGCATTTGTTGATCTGCACTTATTCAGAAAATACTTTTTTGGATGTAATTTTAGTCTCAAAGCTTACAAGTATTGGAGCTGTGATACACGTTTTAGGGGGGATAAATGTAGCAGTTATGTACTCTGCCAATTAAGATCAAAATTATTTAATGCCAAGGGTTTTAAATTTGTTCTTGCTGTTACCTTACCGGTACCTGTAAATGAGGAAGTTACGAGAAATGTGTGATATTCTAGAGAAGATCTTGGCGCAGAATTTACTGGTGTAGTATCAGCATCTTTTGACAGTGAAGCACTGACTTGGAAATCAATACGAAATTCTGTAAGATTTTGTTGTACACAGAAGTTGCTTGGTTCAAAATTAAACATTTGTTACGGATTTTTCCCAGTATTGGAATCTTAGAAATTCACTGAAGTATCAAAGTGATTTTTTTACTCTTGTTTAATACTTGTGAGCACATGAGAACAATTTCTAAAAATAACAGAAGTTAAGAAAAATATGGAATATTTCTAACCATGTGTCCATTTTCATAAATCTATTTTAAATTTTGGAGCATTATTTTAAGTACTGCTTTCCAATAACTGTCCAAAAGGTGAAGTGAGATACCAATAAATACATGAATGTTAGCACCAGTGAGTTTAGCCCTCTTTAAGTACTTAACTGTCAGTATCATACAGACCCTACTGAAAAGATACAGGGGGAATTTAAAAAATCAGTGAGAAGGATGGATGCATTTTAACTTGAAAGGCAGTCAAGCACAAATTAAATGAAAGAAACTCAAAAGCATTTATGCACAAGTTATCCCAGGATTTAAGGGATGACAATTTTGATGTAGATTTGCTAAAGCTGCAAATGGTAAATGTGCTAGTTAACTGCCCTTATTGAAAGTGTGAATGTAATACAATTCTGTTTGAATACCAGTGATGATGGTTCCCATCAGTAGGCCTTCTTTTCAGATGTTGACAAAAGCACCAACCTTTGACAGCAGAAAGGAAATATGCTGTGCTAATTGCTTGCTTCTTTTTTGTTAAAAGCCAAAAAAACTTATATTTACTCAACTTGGACAAAAAAAAAAAGTTGGAAGAAGAGAAACTAAAGTAGGTACTATTCTTACACATTTGAGGAGGGATGTGAAATTTGGCGGGTTTTGGAGTATTTGAGTATACTTATCTGTTCCTGTATACATCTGTTTAAATTTGAGCAACTTGTAGAATTATGAGTTTAATAGATCTGGTCCCTCACATGGGTGTGAGATGTAAAGAACTCGGCACATTTCCTCCTGCAACACAGCTTTGTATTGTAGTGTCGTTCAGTTATTCCTCTTGTATTGTGAGTGTTCTCCCCTTCTGGTATGCTGGAAAGCTAGGGAAGATGTCTGAGCTAAATGCAGAATATAATGTGGGCTCCTGAGGAGATTTGGGGATAGACTGATACACAGACCCAGTGGAGGCGGCTGTGAGAGTCTGACTGAAGAAGTAATTTGGAAGAAAATGACAGATCTGGGAGTCATTAAATGTGATGGGGAGAGTGACTATAAACAATGTGGCAGAATGAAAGAGACTGGGGCAAAAGCCAAAACCTGACATAATAAAGGTGAACACCTGGACAGAGTAAGTGGGGTAGGAGATGATAAAAGGATGAGGGAGAAAAGGAAAGCGTATTGCTTGTGGAGCATGCACAGACATTGTGCAAGGCATCTGTGAAAGAATGGTGAGTAGATATCCTGCTGGCCAAGTGATTTGGAAAAGGGATCAGGGGAAGCAAGTTGAAAAGAAGGGTAGTTTGTGCTGGCAGAATGACAAGCTGCAGGTGAAGAGGTTGTCAGGTGGAGCTGAGGACTGTCAGATAAAGGACTAAGGAAAACCTCTTCGGGGTTTGCTGTACCACAGACAGGAATATAAAGCAGAAATATAGGTGTGACAACATGGAAAGAAAAAAAGGAAGAAGCAGAATTAGAACAAAACAGAGGGATGATAGAGAAAAGTTCAGGCATAAAGGAAACTGACCTAAAAAGATGGATGCCCATGATAGCAGTGATTCTTACTGCTAAGGATCATGGTCAGGGAAGGACAGTGCTGATTTAGGCTTGACTGCTAGAGGTCATCATACTCTGTTCACTGATTATTCAGTTTATCCCATAAGTGAATTTGATTATTCTCTTGCTTGACTAAATCCACTCATTCATTATTCAAATGTAATTAGCACTGTATTAAGTGTTCATGCTCTAATACAGCTTTGAGATATTAAAAAAACAAGTAACTCACCAGACTGCTTAGTGCCACTTTAGAGTTTTGCCTGTAGAAATGTTAATAGCCATAAAGAGGAAAAGTGTCATCCTTTTCCATCAACTAGACTCAACTCCTGAGACTATAGAACCCCAGCACAGCTACTGAAATCTCCATGAAACCCGTTCAGTAAAATAATTTTCTCTCTGATGCTGAATCACTGAGAATTAAACTTCCTCTGTCAACAGATGTTCCATCAATTCAAAATACAGAGGAGATATGGGTTTAGGAGAGTTTAATTTGCAAGCATGTTTTGGGAACCTGGGATACTACACCTAAAGGTTTTACTTCTAAAGCAGTTGTCTCCGTTTGAAGCTAAATACTTGAAGTTTAGAAGGTGTCAGAGCTGTAGACTGGCTGTACAATCATAATTTCATTACACATTTAGCATTCAGCTTATAATCACTCTCTGTCTCTTATTTCTCTTTGTCTTCTGTGAGACTTGTCTTTTCTGCCCAGGTTGGGCATGTTTTAGTGTCAGGTGTGTGTAGTGAAAAATCACAGTCCTGATTCTTGAAAGGATAAATGAAGAATGAATGTGCTTCGGGAAGTATTGTAATTTAGAGAGCTGAATACTGCCTTTGGGAACAGAATTTAATTATTTTTTCCCTTGGAGAATTCATTCATATGTGATCACAGGCAAGCTGAGTGTTACAAATCCACTCATTTTATAGAGAGGAGCATCAGAAGAATCCAGTGATCAGCGAGAGTGTACTGCTGAACAGTTACTTGCTTGTACTTGGAATCTGTGAGAACTCTGGGCCTCTGAGTGTGCAAACCCCAGGTACTTTCTGAAGTAAAGTTTAGGCCTCTCATAACTATTCCTTTGTCCCATCCTTCAAAAAATTAAGATTTTTGGCTATAGTGTTGCTTTGACTTTAATTTGTGATGTCTAAAATGATGATAATGCAGGATGTTCTTGTTAAAATGGTTTCTGAAGGAAAAATAGATTGTAGTCAGACATTAAAAATTGTCCTCTTTGGAGCTTACTTAGTATTCTCTAATATTTTTATTGTATGTTTGTCTTAATCTACACTTCATTCTGGTGGAGGCATTAATATTGTAACAAAACAGAATACATTATCAAAGGTTTATTAGAAAATAATTAAAAGCTTTTTCACATCTGGATTTTCAGGCTATTCAGTTATCAAAGTTTAGATTTACTTAATTTTTCTGAACAAAAAGTGGTATCTCGTCAAAGATATCCTTAAAGGTATAATAGATACTGTACTGGAGAAGCAATTTTTTAAAATATTTTTACTCTTCTTTTTAAAGCCATTTAGATATTTTTCCAACCTGTATTTAACCTCCTTCTTTAGTGAATTGATTCACTGGTGACATTAACTGCATATTTTCTTCAGTGCAACACAATCAATATGAGTTTCTTTCTCTCTGTTTTTCTCCATCTGTTGACTTATTTTTTCCCCCTTTTCCTCTATGGTTTTCTCTATTCCAATGACTTTTCATTCAACTGGAAGCTTCACAGTAATTGTGGTGGTTGTTTCTCCGTGGTGACATCCGTAACTGAGCTTTGTGCCGTGGGAACACAGAGAATATATGGTTTTCAGACTCAGCATTTGTAGCTGTATATTGAGCTGTTCCTGCTGCCAGATTCTTAGGGACCACCACAAGAAGAGGGAGGGAAGGGTTTCAAGAACCACCCACAGTGTATATATGCCTTTGCTTTAGGAAGCATGGATATAATTAAGTCTTCCTTTTAACTGTGCTGAGAAGAATGTTGCAATGAAAAAATGTATTTACATATATATGTAGATTGAATATATGCATTGATTACTAACTGTTGAAAACACAGTGTAAAGAGCACCGTCAAAAGAACAGGTTGAATAATGGACTTTAAAAGATTGATAGTGAAAATGGTCTTTGTAAAAGGCTGTGTCAATATTATTTTGGACTGTTATGAACTGTGGGTAACTGTTTAGAATACTGTGTTTTATTTAAATTAGCTTATGAAACTATTTATTCAAGGCTTTTATTGTTTGTTGAAGTGCTGTAAAAAATCAAAACTTGGACTGTTACTATCCCAACCCATACTTTTCTGTCTCTCCTCAAACTGGGCCTTTATTCAATTTTATATATATATATATATAACATATATATGTGTGTGTAATTTTT